AACGGCTTGTCCCAAATTTTAGCCAAATTAATTAACGAATCTCATTTCACTTATGCTCGTTTTAATCAGTAAGATCAGCCGCAAGCTGGTACAGAGCCGGATTTTCCATTTTGGCTTTTAAAAAATTTATAATAAATAAAATACGGACTCGCAGCTAAGCAACCCGACAGAGGTCGGTAGTGTTACTCCTGTCGACCCTTAATCGAATCGCTTGTTAAGATTTACATGTTTTATGAAGTGATACAATTCCACATTGTTCTACATAGTTTTTGGATTAAGGCTAAAATACATGTTTCCTTAGGATTTAAAGAAATGGATCGTACAAACATGGCAAGCCCGTTAGGGAGGACGTTAGCTTCCCCTAGAAAACGAATGTCAATAATTCAATCACTGAAGAAAAATAGTTCGTAAGTTTCTTGCCACATAACACTTACAATTATGCAGTATGTTTTACGAGTAATGCTTCTTTACTCATAGAACAATAATATGTGAATTTTATTCAGACAAGAAATACTTGTATACCAACTGTTTATATCATGTTAGACTTTATTGATTTAGATGGAATTTATTGTTTTAACATAATCGTATTGTATAACATTTTGTTTCATTTCAAAATAACATTATTGTAAACATTTTATTTCAACTTTAGCACGACGAGCGTGTCTGTACGGACAAATCAATCTGTACAAGTGGTATGCAGGACACAGAACCACACGGTGGAAAGCTTCGGTTCTCCATTGCCAGTTTTAGTTACGGAGGCATTGACATTTGTAGATCGGAATACGGCTGTCAGCGTTAATGTATCTGTGGATGGTTGGGCCTGGCTTGTCTATGGTCGCAAATTACTTGTGTGGCAATGTAAAACCAATATTCACGATCCTAAGCAAAGAAGAACCTTTAAGACTCAGTGTCGCGAATTGTTGCTACCTCAAAGTGATTTGGCTCATAAAGCGGATTGCATAGCAGTCTGGGTACCACCAGGTCACCAGGTATCGAAGAAAGATTATATTACCACTTACAATCTTATCTACATATAATATATTTATGCACTTTCAACAAGTAGATTATCTTAGTATATTACATTGATTATTTTGATTGTTTTTTTTTTAATGGAGAGGGCAGTGTTTCAAATAATTTTAGTTTCAAGAAAAAAAATTTATACAACAGATTTTGTGTCACACGTGTTTAAATGTGTTACTAGCTTAAGTTGTTCGACGTTACTCGTCAAGGAATCCGTGAAAACACATTTTACCCCTTTTTACCCCATTAGAAGGAATATACTTCCTGAATTTCATGTAGATTGTAGGGGTTTGAGCTGAGCGTTGATGAGTCAGTCAGAACATTTGTTTATATATATATATATATATATATATATATATATATATATATATATATATATAACATTATTGATATGTATTTTTTTAATAGAACAATATAATTTTGTCACATAATTTGATTCTCTCCAACTTCAATTATTTTTTTTATCTAAATGCAGTTATATATTTTCTTTACAATTAATTTATTTTATTAGTCTATGCATACTATAGGTAAGGAAAGTGAAGATACAGGTTTTGTCTGCTATCTGTAAGTAGAGTTACTATGAAACCTTTTGTAAGCCGATGTTACGTAATGAAAAAGCAATTATACCATTAGTTTATATAGAAACATTTTTTTTGAAGAACAAAAATTCTCTTTGAATTTCTTTCGGTTAGCGAAAAGGTCCTGATGTAAATCTTTTGTAAAAACGAAGTAGTGTAAAGAAAACTTTCAAAAAGCGGAGAATACTTGTACTTTGCATTTTCTGTCGAAATAAGATATCAAATATTTTTTAATTTTTTATGATTTAGCTCTAATACTTTTATACGATTAATATGCTTTTATAGACTTGATATTTTTATGTGGATTGATAAGAGGATGTATGTAAAAAAAAGTAAAAGAACATTCATAATACATTCAAATACATTCTAAAATCTTATAGAAAACAAATGGTTTAAAAACTTGCTCGTCTAATGTTTTTTTGTTATAAAATTCTAGAAAATTTTTATTTGAAATCTTTTCTAAGAAATAACTATTTGAAGATTAATTATATAATATTTAGGATGATACATTCCAATTGGTTTTGAGATTTTTCTGATATTTCACGAAGACATATGATTGACAAGTAAAAAATGCAAAACTTTTGTAAAAATATTGTACGTATATACGTATATAGGAAAACTGTGTGCATTTTTGTTCCATAGGTTCCTAGCTGCATGGCAGTCTCGCCGGAAGGAGTGGTGCGTTTCTGGGCGAGTGTGGCACACGAAGGATCTTCCGTAGAGACTAGCGCTGAACTCGCGGGACAGGAAGTGGATTGTCTTATACACATACCAGGCCATGGATGCATTCTAGCCACGACTACGTGTACGGTGGCGCTCTTACAGCCACAGTTCAACAGTGGAAAGAACCAAATTACGTGCCAGGTACTTCGAACGAGTCAGGGATGGCTCGGCGGTATAGGTCGCAGAATGACCTCCCTTATTTTCGGGGCGATACCACAATCGCCTGTCACGGAAACGAAACTGGTGAAAGTCACGTGCACGTCACTGGACGAGAAAGCCTCGAGAGTTCTCATTCTCGCCGGGTCTTCCCTGCAGTATTGGTTTTTTTCTTGTAACGAACAGGAGAAAATGGAATTTGACGAGGACATCACTCATATCGTTCAGCAAGCATTTGCAAGAAAAATTTGGGAGTCAAGCCCTCAAAACATGAACACGTGGTTCGTCGATATGCAGACATGCGAGGAAGGAATAGTTCTTTTAATGGCGGCCCATTGCGCCGACATATCCATACAAATTCATTTTGCACTTGGATTATTACCCTTGGTCGGCACGACATTGTCAAACTCGTTTAAATGGTTTATACCAGTGAAAATCGACCCAATATTTTATCACAACGATATAGAATCGAGGCTAGTTTCCTATCATTTCATATTGTGCGGTTGGGAGGCAGTTATATACAACCAGCACAACGTCCTCGTAGTTAACACCGCATCTGAAGTCGAGCAAGATAAGATTGATCTGGTGAGAGGTGGCGAGGATGGTATACTTGGCGGTGCTATATGCTCGTCGACTCCAGTTTTGTTCACAAAAAGTATTGGTCTCATATCCATTACGCCGGTGGACTTTGCGGTGCAGGATTTTAATACCGGGTACACAGATACCACCATGAGCATGGACTACACCTACAAAGTGAATCAAACCGCCCAGAACTTTTCCACTCTTATAAGCAACGATGAATTACATGATATGTATTGCAGCTCGGATGCGGCTACACAATTACGCGCCGCCTTTCTTCTAAGTCTGCGACAGAATAAGGCGCAATGCGACGAGATTCTTTCGCAGCTGTTTCCTCTACAGGAGGATCCGGTAATGGACATCGACGCTACTCTCGACACGCTCGTTTTAAAGGTCGCGAAGGATTTGATCGATGATTATCCGGCGAACGATCCGAGATGGGCTCATCACAGAGATCTGTCGATGACGGTGAACGCGGTCACCTCTATGCAAATACCGCATCAACTAGAAGGTAAACAAAAGGCATTAGATCTCTTCGTAATGTTTTTGAAGGAGCACAACTTGTGGAACAGGTTCTGCGCGGTCACATGCAGGGGAACTATCATGTCTACGTCCCACATGCTCGGGGAATACGCGGAGAAAATAGTCGCGACGTTGACTCTGTACAGTCTACAAAACAGATATGCGGAAATCGTAGACGCGGTCGTAGAACAGACGTTGAGTCAGAAGGAAGCGTACGTGTCCGACGAACTTACGGCGCGTGACGTATTCTACCGCGAGGTAAGCACGGTGCACTTGTTTCTACCGATTCTGGTGGAGAAGACCGTGGAGATCACGCAGTCTGAGAGACCTTTGCAACAGGTTGGCCGGTACATTGTGCAGGTCAACGCCATTTTACTGGCCGTGTTGTACGAAGTGGTAAAGTATCGTCAGTACAACGCTGAACGCTTTGTCCCTGCCAAGTTTTCGAACGAGATAACGGAATATCTCCCTTGGACGGCCGCACCGGGTAAACACGGCTTGAGAAACTGCCTCAATACGATGCAAAGCATCACCGTTAAGCACGGCGTGACCGCGACCGGCGACTCCACCGTGAGAAACGAGCTGTATGAACAACTGGTCAGCTTGATCGATTTGATATTGGACGGAAGAAAGTGTCATTTGGAGAGCATTCGCGGCACGGAGAAGTTCGAGGTTCTCTTGAAGCAATACGAAACGGAACGCGCCAATCTGATACAGCCGCTGATAAAGGAGGAGCAATACGATAATGCCGCTATGCTCGCTGAGAAATATTGCGACTTTCCCTCGCTCGTGCAAATCTGTGAGTTGACCGACAATAAGAATCGGCTGGATGGGTATGTCGAAAAGTTCGCGGCGCAGGATTTCGCCGGCTTCTTATTTTCATGGTACGTGAAGGATGGACGTCAGGGGCAGTTGGTCGAGAGATGCAGACGCGGCGGTACCGCGGAGTTGACGGAAAAGCTGTCGGAGCATCCAACCCTGTCCTGGGTGCAAGCGGCGCTGACCGACGAGCTGCGATTTGCCGCCAATACGCTTCACACTTTGGCGGTTCAGGAGTCCGAGTTGGTTACCCGTAAAAAGTCGATGCTCTCGTTAGCCAAGATGGCTCTACTCGCGTCAGACGACCCGGAGGATAAGGTGATGGACTGCGTGAAAACGATCGACAACGAATTGATGCTTATAGCTTACCAGGAGGACCTGCCGGCACAAGTGCTCACTACATACGGCTACGATATCAAGAAGTTGCGAGTACTCACACCGAGGGAATTAATTATGCTGTACACCTCGAGTGACAATTTCATTGCCAATGAGTACGATTTCAAGAAGGCTCTCGATTTGCTCGACTACGTAGAGCATGAGGAGGACAAGTCGTCTCTGAGATTGCAAATTTGGGCACGCGCGGCTCGGCGAAATCAATGGGACAACGTAGAGAAGAATCCCGATCAACAAGTTCAAGAGACCTTATTTTTCAAGTTGATGGATCTCACGTACTTCATGGGTAAGTTACTACATTTGACAAGGCATTGATAACACTATTCAACAAAAAAATGCATAAGATCGAAGATAATCGTTTCTTGAATTTTTTTAGGCAATTCCGTAATCATTTCTTGTAATCTTTTAGGTGATTTCGTCTACCAAATTGCTCCTATCACGTCACGATTTTGAGAAATTTGTGATTAAAATGGCAAAAAGAGATATTTTAGTGTATTTCGATATATCATAATTATGATATGTAACGTGTCGGAGAAGTTTTAGTCCAATCAAAATTAAGTATGTTATTAATACTCTCAGCCCTTAAAAGAAATGTGTTAATTATGTCGAATATAGTTAAAAAATATTCGTGATTAATATAGAGTCTAAAAGCGTAATAGTTGCGATTTACATTGCCATAAAGAATCTATCAAATATTTTTTATAATTATTTTTTAAACTTAAGGATTTTTTCAGGTTGTTAAATACTAATCAGATGTTAAAGAAGATGATAAATTCAACATGATGGGTGTCATAATTAGAGTGTTCAAAATTTTTTATATAATTCACATACACGGGTTTTTCATACAATTTAAATTTGTCAACTTTGACATCAGATTGGTATTCAGCAATCTGAAAAACTCTTAAGTTTGAATAAAATAATTGAAAAATATTTGATGGATTCTTATAATAGCCTAAGTTGCAATTTTGATGCAACAGAACCTATTAAAAGTTCTACTAACATATTCAATTTTGATTGCAAAAAAATTTGATTAACACGTCACATATCGTAGTTATAATATGCCAAATAGTCTTTTTTTGCAAATTTAATCGCCAATTTCTCAAAACTGACGTGATAAAACAATTTGGTAAACGGGATTGTATTTAACACCCAAAAAATAACGGAAAACAATTACTTTCGTTCTTGTTCTCGAAAAAAAGTCATTTTTTTGTTAAATAGTGTAAGTATTCAACGAGATAAATTGATGTTTACACTTTTGCCGTTTAGGTGGGAAAGCGGATGAATTTTTGCCGCACATTGATATGCTTCTTAAAGAACCAGAGCTCGGGGAACTTGCTGTTTCTAGTAATTTTCAATTTCTTATAAAATTGATATACGAATATGCTTATCGAAGCTATTGATGTATAAAATATTCACGAGTATAATTATATTTTTGTACGCAATAAAGGAAAGAAAAATTGTATACATAAATATCGACTTGCAAAGCAACGATACTACTATTATCACCACTACATTATTATTTCTATCTTACTAATGACGCATTAAAATTTTGTCGTTAAGGGGATCCTATAGTGGCAGTAGTTACCGACATTTCTTCATTTTAAGAAATCTTTGAATTGGCTTTACAGAATTGCAAGTTTTTGGTCTAGAATTAAAGTACGCACAAAAATCTACATCGCGACATACGATTTCATATCGGGAACGAAAAAAAATTAAAAATTTTACTAATTTGGGCACATACAACTGTCATCTGACGACAATAACAAAATCACTGCAGTTTATATATATGTAATGACACCCAAGCGAGGTAGGGACAACATGTAGGAACAATATTGTGTAAATAAAACTAAGATTCAACGTCTAGAAAAAAAGATTTTGTAAAATGAAGTTTTATAAGCAAAAGCACATTCAGGTTGATAGGATAAGCAGTATTGCGTGTAGCGAGAGATGGCACAGCAATCGAACAAAGACAGATGCCTCTCGTTAGACAAGGACAGATGTAGATATATAACATAGAAAACAGGATTAGAAATGTTGACATTACCGACGTTGAGGAAGTTCGGCCTTCACTATAGGATCCCCTTAAGGAGGCTCTTACCTCGATCATAATATGACAGATCTTTATGAAATTAATATATGTTGTAAAGTGAACCACAACGGACCGATGCCCAAAACTTGAGCATAGGTTGACGATAAAAACTGTAAAAATATCAGTATTGAAATTCGCATTTTTAACACAGGGCATATGGTAAACACTAAAATTTTTACCGGAAGTGATGTATTTTCTTGGCAAGTTTGCGAGCCAGGTAAACAAAAAACTAAGGAATTGTAGTTAAAATAATAATCTTTCTAATGATAAGAAGAAAACTTGGTGTTGACGATTAGTTATAAAAGATATTGTAGTTTTAATATGACGTACGAGAGGTTAGGACGAATGATCTTCCGAGTGTCAAAATCGCGCGAAGTTTCAAATGTTGTATTACACGTAAATAAGTAAAATGCGTTTTTTAAACATCTTTTATTCATTTTATTAATTAAGTAAACAAGTAAATATTATATATATATATATATATTTATTTATAAATATATATAGTTATACATAAACACATCAACTATACTTATCATAATTTCTTAGAAAAATATTATTTTTCACAGCTTTCTTGCAGAGTAAATATATCACATATTTTGTCAATTACTCTCTTATTATTGGTAATTCTTGGTTTAAGTATTTAAATGGGTTGGCCCAATTCCAGCATCAATCATTCCTGTAAATAAATGTTGCGATTAATAATAGAGTAATTTTATGCATAAATTAAAATAATTATTTTCGTACCGAATGCTGCTTTTGTATTTACAATAAATCCTTCATTTCCAGGTAACTTATCATCGGTATTTACTGTTCTCAATCTCCCACATTGAGAACATTTGACCTTGAAAATACTTGCCAATCCAAAATTTTTTTCACTAACTGCATTATTTATTGATAATGCAATGTTGCAGCTAAGGCACCACAGTTGTTGTCCAAATACTTTTAAATTCACTATCCGTCGAGACCCTAATGAATCCTCTGCATGCAAACATTCCGGAGAATTGTTTTGTACCTATATAAACAATAAGTTTCAATTATTTGCCAATCAAACCTTGAAAATCAAAAAGTAAACAATGTTAATTATTCTTTCTACCTCACTTGCACATGTCTTTTCTCTGCGCTGTATGGTAGCGGCATAATTATTCTCTCGCGCATTGACAACCTTTATTTTCGCGAGTTTTCCTTTCATTTTCCCTCTCAGCATTCTCACGTTATATTTTTCTTTTGGCTCCATCTCTTCATCGCATCATTCGCTACAACGGCTACACCTCACTTAGCTGCAGACTGCTACAGACGACGTTGTGACACGCGCATGTTCTGCTCTTTAGCACTGACGTAGTCAACTGACTTATTGTATAAATTTTAATATTTACACTAATAGAACATATAACTTACTCTTACACTATGTAAAAATCATTATTTATTTTTTTATTTAATTTTCCGATAATTTTATAACCAATTATTAATGATAATTTTTCGGTTGCTACATTGATTAGAGCAGCCGGGTAAGAGCCTCCTTAAGTTCGTTCATAATTATTTATGTCGATTACTGTATCGATTTTTTTACTTACGTTATAAATTGATATAAAAAAATATCGTATTCTTAAAATATAATATAACTTGATACCTTAAGTCGCTTTAGTTTTATTGAACAAGATCCTCATATGTTAAATACAGCTAATTGTAAATATAAATAAAGCGTTACAAATACATTTATAAATATCATTTTTTCCGCTGAGTTGTATGTATTTTGCATCCTTATGATATATCTCACTTGATCCGGTAATTTACATTCCATTTCTGGAACACGAAAATGCGATATAAAAATAAAAATAGACATGTAACGAAGAAAATTTAGATCTTGACTTTTTTATCCGAGTATAGAGACGTTACCTGCACACTTGTAAAAGGAAGTGGCGTTTTGTATACGGAGATATATGTGAGGGCAGCGTATATCAATGCATGTATAGTTGTCGATTAAGTTAATCTCCTTATGCGCATTAAGCTGTTGACATGCCATAGTTTCTTCACTATTGAATTGATTCCAAGAACAAGCTTTTATCGTTCCGTATCCAAAATTATGGACCTGGCAGAAATGTCAATAAATCATGAATTATTTGTCAAAGCATATAATTCTGCCAAATAACATTATTTCATTCTATTATCAATAGTTGATCAAAATTAGAAGCATTTCGATAAATTTTTCGTATACACTGTCGGCCAAGAGTTTGAGATCAATAATTGAAAATGTTTATTGTATAAAATAAAATCACAAACTGTGCATTATAATTTAACTAATTTATAACATATTTAACTTATTTATTGAGTCCTAAGAAGCCCCTAGACACTTCTGTTTTAACGCAATCTTAATAAAAATTTTTAGATCGCAATTTATATTTAGGAATAAAAAGAATTGTTCTTTCCAAAAATCTAATTGGTGATAGGGTGGAAGATATAAAAAAAATAAAGGTTGAAAGTAGAAGTAAAAAAAGAGAGTGACTCCTGTCTTTTAACTGACAAATATTCAACTAATAAATGAGTTTGTTTATCTTTTTGAGTAGAAGTTTTGTTATAAATTACTCAAAGAATAATTACAATATATTGATTTTGTCTATTCAAAAAGATAGATAAAATTATTTATTAATTTAATATTTGTCAGTAAAAAGAGTTCACTTACTTCCACTTTCATAACTTTACATATATTTTTTAAGATATTCCACCCTATCACTGACTAGATTTGCGAAAAGAGCAACTCTTTATACCTCTAAAATATTAACTGTGATCTAAAATTTTTGACAATTAAGTAATTTAAATCGACTGACTGGCAATATATAACATCTTTTCGATGTGAACATTGAAAAAACTGTGAGCCAACTCGCTTTGTTGGATTCACACAGCACTTTTTCGGATCAATCATCGAGACATTAATTTTGACCAACGCTTTTTGTCAGATGATGTAATTTCTAAATTAAATAGTTTTAAATTTTATTGCGAAAAATATTACCCTGGCTAGGGTAACATTTTTTTATTATTTAATCTATTGTTTTATGATGAAATAAAAATAATAATGTTAAATGTTTGAGAGTTCGATAAAAAAATATTTTTTAGATAGAAAGAATATTAGACACTTGTTTCGTCAAAGTAGCTATCCTTACATTTAATCACTAATCTAGGTATAGATTCCTAATTTAGCTATGAGTTAATTTTTTCCGACGGAAGACTCTTCCATTCGTCTTCTAAAATAGTCTATAACTCAAGAAAAAAGGCTTTACGAGACCGTAGTCCATTTTCTTGAAATTAAATGATGCTACGTTTAAACCACAACTATGTTAAATATGTATATGCTTATTTACTTTCAAGTTAAGAAAAAATGAGTAAAGCATGAATCGGATTTTTAAGTAAAATTGCACTGAAATATTTTAAAATTTTATACATGGTCTCTCAAATTTTTGGCCGACAGTGCCAAAAATTTCTTTGCATTCTTATTTTCTTCGTAGGAGACAAAAAATTATATAATTCCTTAAAAATACTGACTGTAATTGTTATCTTCATATTAGCTGTGTGTTGCGAATGCAACATGTATGTAATTGATTTTGAAGGACTTATGTAATTTTCTATTTTATTCTTGAATTTTGATGGTTCTTCTGTGTCAAGTTTCGACACAGTTACTGGCTTCAGAGTTCGCGGCACTAAAATATAATGCACGAGTATTTATTACAAACATATTATAAATTATACGTATAAATATGATTAATTTGTTTGCAATTATTTGTTTTGCAATAATTATACAATACTTACACGTTGACAGGTATTGTGCGATGGCATCGATATTAGGGCCAAGTATTAAACGATCTTGCTCTGATAATACAAACGGTTGAAAAATACGTGAATTGTATTCCGACACATAATATAAAAAATATAGATCTGTAATATTATAAAAATGTTGACTAGGATGCATTCGAATATCTCCACTATATAAATATATTTATTTTGTTCTCGTTTTATATTCTCTTATCTTTTTTTCCAAAACACGAGGGGATGTTTATTTACTTGTGAGCAAAATGACCCCTGTTGAGCTGGCCCCCCTCTCATCTTGCAGAAATTAAAAAACAAGCACAAAATTACAAACTATGAGCTTTCAAAGTTCATATCCCGCTAATTAAAATTTTTTAGCTTGTTACACTGGGCTGAAATTTAATATTTTTTGTGGAGGGGGGCTGAGTCAACGCCTCCCCCCATTACTTAAAAATAGAAATATTGAATCAATCTTTGCGGCAGAATTAAGAGCTATTTATGATGAGCTTATAGTTTCGATTTTTGAGCTCACCCCTTTAATCCCCAAGCAACCCTTTATGGGAAACCGAGGCGAAGTTGTCACTATTTTTTCGCTGCCGATTTTTAACAATAAAACAAATAATTTTAGTAAAATGTGGTATACCGTTGTAAAGAGTCTTGGCTACAAAATTTATACGGACATTTTTGGTCTACGTCACTTGTTCAACTGGTATAGAGTGAAAACGACAAAGGTGCAAAAATTGAAATGTAAAAATTGCCGGGGCGGAGTCGTCACTCTATTCTTGGACTGAATTTTAAATAAAAATTCATAATTTCGATCATGGAAAATGATAGGATACATTTTATTAATTATTTTTTAATAGAAAAATGGAAACATTAATTAAAAACACGATGGCGGAAAATAATTACAAGAAAAGCGCACACACTTATGTGCTCTACGCTCGCACGTTTGTCGTCAGCTCTATTCTGTCATTTCTGAGCACACGCAGCATATATTATCCAAGTCCACGCTGGTATCCGACCACTGCTGCTTCTTTGACTTTGATTTTTGCCCGATCCCTCCATGATATGGCTTGGTGACGACTTCGCCCCGGACACAAGTTTCAACTTTGGTCGCTTATAAAATAATAGAAATCAATGAAAATAAAAAACACTTTACTGGATTCGTGTTCAGCATGCATTACTCTTTAGAATCACTTACTTTGAGATTCGGAGACACAATAATATTTAAGATATTACAAATTTTCGACGCGCGAAAAATTTTACTTTTGACCTCCGAAAACACGTTTGTTTCGATAAGAATTACAACATGGCACATAACCTCACTAAATTTCGTTGGTCATGTGGACACCATAAGCCGCGTTTACAGTATTAATGACGAGTTCACACAACACAGATTTTAAGATAATTGCAATGACGACTCCGCCCCGGTGACGACTTCGCCCTGGTCTCCCCTAATTGATGCAACTCAAGAGAAAAATGTTGAGAAAAGTAAAAATACATAGTATCGTGGATGTATAGAGTATAAATTCAAAGAATAAACTCTTAAAATACGTGCATTTTGATTATTGAGCTATAACCCCTTTGCGAGAAAACCACTCCACATCTTCCCGGCATAACAGAGAACTGTACTTAAAATGAAAGAAATTAATTATTTTACGACTAAATATTGTTTACTAATTTATGAACTCGCAAAATATGCGCATTTCGATTATTGAGCTAGAGTCCCTTCGCAAGAAAACCACCTCACAGCCGGGAAAATGTTTGGTGATTTTCTTGCGAAGGGGTAGCTCAATAATCGAAATGCGCGTATTTTAGAAGTATATTCTTTGACTTTATTATACGCTACATCCACGATACGATCTATGTTTACTTTTTTCAACATCAAAAATCGAAACTATATCACTTTGAAAGCTCATAAATAGTTCCTAATTCTGCAAAGATTGATTCAATATTTCTATTTTTAAGTGGGTGGGGGAGGGTTGAGTCAACGTTGACTCAGCCCCACCCCCTACAAAAAATATCAAATTCTTGCCCAGTGTAACAAGCTCAAAATTTTTAATTTGTAGAATATAAAAGCTCGTATTTGCGGGATATTACAAGCTAAATAGCTTGTAATTTTGTGCTACTTGATTTTTAATTTCTGCAAGGAGAGTGCCAGCTAAGCTAGCTTAACAGAGGAAATGTAAAAAGTAGCGATGGCGGATTAAGTATCTTACAAGTAGATTCGAATCTGTTGGCGTAGTTACAAACTCTGTATGATTACTTGGAAAAATAAAAGCAATACTTTCAAATAGATCTAGACGAAATGGGTTTGAACCCTCTATGAGTATTTCGAAAAACAAAGGATATTATTTCCAAGTGGACTCGAACGTGGATTAAATAGGTTCGAATCTTTTATGAGTACTTTACTAGAAATTTTACGTTTCTTTGAATCAAAACGTTGATGTAAAGCGATAATTATTTCAATATATTATTTTTTGATAATTACAAATATTAGATTATCGATCGTTGAAACTAAATATAATAAAAATATAGAATAAAAGTTACTTAAATTCCTTACAAATTACATTCTTTAATAAACTAACAACTTTATTCTTAGAAGTTTTTAATACTATACTTGTAAAAATTCGATTCTTTACGATAGAAACAACTTCATTTCGAATTCTGCAAGTACTCATTCTAAAATTCCGAAAATTCGAAACTAGTCGAGATCGATTACTTCGCTAGTAGGAATAATGTATGAAATATTACTTTTTATGAATTTTACTTGAATTCTAGAAAATAAAATTTGATTATCGGATTTGACTCGGATTTTCAAGTATACATGTATTGAACTTGATCTCTTTTCTAGTAAAAGAGTACAGAAATGTATTTATTACCGGGATGAAGATGCTTGATCTCTTTTAATAATTTTAAAATTGTCTGTTGCTCTGATTCAGAGAACTGAGCCAATGGAGCTAATATCACGATCGCTTGACCGAGACTCCCTATTGTATGTTGTTGCCATCTTGCTTCCCAGGTTTTATTCAGATAATTGGATATTGCATTCAACGTTGTAACGAGATCTATACGCGTAGGCCCTGTATAAATATATGTAATATTAGTCATACTGGACAACAAATGATATATGACAACAAACAATATAGAGAGAACTTGCATGAAATATTCCTGAAGTTAGATATAGCGTAATAAGCAAGACTAGGACTGCTTGTTACATTGAGCAACCATTGTCCTGATATACCGTGTAAAATTCCCATTTTTGAACTATACATCGATACATCCAAGTCATCTATTAATGCTCTAATTATATAAAAGGAAGATTAAAATAGAGTTATCGATTTAATTGCGATTAATAATCATTATCCTTATTAGGTACGTTTGAGAAATAGCAAACAAGTCCACTCGTCTCGACTTACGCGACCAAATCCATTGTGTATTCCTCAGTCCAACTACCGTCGAATACGATCAACGCTTCTACTTGTGGATAACGTTTTCTGTTTCGACAGAGTAATTCTGTCAAGAGGTGATCGTTTGCGTAAACTGAGAATTTAGCAATCGCGTGATCGACCAGTCGTTTAAGAGCTTCTGGAGATTTGAATACGATATCGTTATGGTAGGCCAAAAGATGAGATGCGGCGTATGTCTGTTACAAGTGATCCGTAATAATAGAGTTTACACTTTGACTTGTTCGGCGCATGTTGTATTTATATTATATTAAAATGCGTATATAAAAAAAAAAACCTGCTCGTCCAAAAGCGTCCTGGACACGACGTACGAGAAACCCTTCTTCCTGTCACAGACTTTGATGTTTTCATTAAATAAAGTTATACCGTTATCTGAGTAATACATATCAAGAATTTGACTCAAACGAAGACTGTAAAAGTCGTTCACCCAGGTGTGCACCTTACTCGCTATGATGAGACCTATGAATCAAAGGCGAAAGGGTAGTAAATAGCGCTCGTAATCGTATAATACCGTACTTTTCTATGATAAAAGGACGTGATATATTTGTCTGCAGATATGTTTACCATCGATATCACTGACTATTTTAGCACGGGTGGCATCAAAATAGCCATTTTGATTTTTTAAATAATAAACACCGGGACGCATAGTGTTATTCCAAAATCCAGTGGCTCCAAGTTGCATATCGGAGTCTAATATAGGTCCTTGATATACTACCATCTCCGCTAATTCACCTGAAAAGTTTATCTCATTTTTCGATTTTAATTTCAATTAAGATTAAAGATCTAAAATGACAAGTGACATTGCAATTTAAAATTCTCCACCTGCAATCGTTGTTAGCCATACGTTGTCTAATTTTAGATCTGGCTTAGGCGAGGAAATATATGACATTGATTTATCATGAATCATTTCATTTCTTGGTATAATAAAGTCAACTTCTTCGATGTGAGTTACGCTAGCGATGGTAACAGGCCTTTCTAACGAAAGAAAGAAAACATTTTGTAAGGGTTAAATATATATTTGAAATTTTTGTTATTCTACTTTTTATTATTCTATTATTGTATTTTTTAAATTATTTTTTATTATGATGTACAGTTGTAAAACGAGCCGCATGGCTAAATCCGCTGAGAACAGTTTTTGAAAGTGTCTGCTGTAAATTTCGTCGACAGAGTGCTAGCAGAAATATAACAGATGAATCAGAGCATGTATTATGAAACTTTTCGAAATGGATTCCGATCAGAATTATTCTGTTTTCGGTAATTATGCATAAAAAGACCTCACCTGTCAATGACCTTAACCTTGACATATGTTGTCAAGGTCATCCTCCTGAGTGACCTTCAGAAGTTTTTAGCCGGCGGTCATTATTCGTTAAAAAGTTATTAACAAAAAAAGTTATTTTGAAAATATAGCAGCTATTTTCAGTATTGGAAGGCATAAACGACTAATATTACGTTTTTTTTTTAAAGCAGAGAATACTTTATTTCGCGAGAAAGTCGCTGCTTTACCAAAACACAACATTTAAAGCAGTGTTGATAAATTAAAGTCTTTTTGTTAATGCAGTGAATACTTTATTTCGCGAGAAAGTTGCTGTTTTATCAAAACACAACATTTAAAGCAGTAAATTGTTGATAAATTGAA